CCATAAAGAGGAGCGCAGATTAAATGGCGCCGCAGGCTCCCCGGGGCCGTCGGCGCACAGACCACAGTAACCCTTTTAAAAACACATCTATCACACACCACTAGGGTGGCTCGTGCCCAGCCTCTCCTTCCGCTGCCGCCAGCCTCGCAGTCCCGCCTGCCATCACGCTGCAGAGCCTGCGTAGACGCCAAAGACGGCAATTCTGCAGCCCACAGCCTTGGCAGCTGAGGGCGAGGGCCAGCAGTATACGACGACGACGACATCTCACACCCCGCGCTGGCCAGCGCCATCAGCCCCTCACGGCCCGGCCCAACCTCCCTTCGCCTCGCCTCCAGTGCCTCCAATCAAGTCGCACCTCTCTTCTTCAGCGAATGCAGCGGTAGCACCACGTCAGAGGCCGGGCCGACTGGCGGACCTGCATGCCGAGCCATGCACCCCGGAGGGATGCTCAACCGCCCCACGCCACGCCGCTTGCCGCTTGCGGCGGTCCCTTCCCAGCTCGCGTGGCCACTATTGCTGGTGTACCTGTGTTAGTGCCAGTGCGCGCCAGTCCCGTGCCCAGTGTTGTGCGAGGGAGTTCGGAAAATTCTTATTTCTGACGGCTGCTTGCCGCACCTTCTTCACAGCTGCTCGGTGTAATAGTCTATTGCAATAGCGAGCAGCGCGGACCGAGCCCCCGCGAGGTTCACAGTAGGGTGATAAGAAACAAGAACCTCGCATGCGACGGCAGTGAGGGTGTGAGAGACAGACCCATTCACAGCCTTGTTATTGAGAAGAAAATACCTCCTATGGCGCTGTGCGCTGGCTTCACAGCGGATCGGCTGGGCTTCCAGAGTCGGCTCGCCACTTCTCCGCAGTGCCCATGCTCCGGCGATGGCATGACGTTGCCGGTGCGAGGCTACACGCGCACGGTGGCGGCATTTTCTTCGCCCACGGGCGGTCGTGGTGGGTCGGCGAGACCGAAAAGGTCTCCGCTGACTCGAGCCACGGCATCGCCTGCTACTCTTCCGTTGACCTCGAACGCTGGCGGAATGAAGGCATCGTGCTGCACAACTCCGACGTTCGAGGCCTCGGAGGCGAGGTGGCGAGCTCGAGCGGCTGGGTCATGGAGAGACCAAAGGTCCTATTTAATGCGCGCACCGGGCTGTTCGTGATGTGGTTCCACCTGGAGCGATCCCGATCCTACTCGCTAAACGCGGCCGGCGTCGCCACCAGCAGCACGCCGTGCGGACGCTACAGCTTCCGACACGCGCTGCGCCCCGGAGGCCTGCGCTCGTTCGACGCCACGCTCTTCCAGGACTCGCACCGGCTCGCGTACCGGGTGCAAGACGTGGAGCACAAGGCGGTTGTCATCCTCCGCCTCTCTGCCGACTTTCTCAACGCGAGCGCCGCGCCGGTGTCGGTTCTCCACGAGCGGCGCGAGGCGCCCTGCCTCTTCCGGTGGGCGGGCCGGTACCACCTCCTCACGAGCGGCCTCACCTGGTGGAACCCAAACCCGGCCGCCCTGCACGTGGCGGACAGCCTGCGCGGCCCGTGGACCCACGTGGGCAATCCCTTCCTGCAGTCGCCGGCCGGCGGAGGCCCGGAGCAGCGAGGCGAGAGGGCGGCCGCCACATCGTTCCACTCGCAGCCCGCCTTTGTGCTCGTGTACACCAGCGAGCGGCAGGAGCAAGTCGCGCTGCTCATGGCCGACCGGTGGTGCCCGCGGGGAGAGCGCTGCTCGCAGCCGTGGTGCACCTGCCTGCTCCAGGCCACCTACCTGTGGCAGCAGCTCCTCCCGCCCGCCGCGGCTGCTCGGTCTGCCGCGCCGCTCCCACCTCTCGTCGTCGCGTGGAAGCCGCGGTGGCGGCCGCCGGCCCCGCACCAGAGCACGCTCGCGGGCGTGGCCGCGGCGACGCAGACGGCCCTCCCGCCCTTCCCTCCTAGCCCGCCGCAGCCGCCGCCGCCTCCACCGTCGCCGCCACCGGCGCCGAGTGTGTGCCACACCTGGTGCACCTCGCACCCGGAGCCGTGGGAGCAAAGGTGCCGGTGGCAGGCCTGCGCCGCCTGTGAGCCGTGCGGCGATCGCGGCTCGATCGGCGGGGAGAGGCGGAGCCTGCGGCAGATAGCATCAAGGCGGCCTGGGACGATACTGCGGGCTCCACAAGGCCGTTCTTGAGTGTGTGCATGTCCGGTTAGGAGGTAAGGGGGAAGGTAAGGTAGGTAAATTTTTCTCCACGGAGTCCACACGTGCGACGACACCTTTCGCTCCGCACTCACACCTATCGAGGTGGTGTTAGCAGTTAGGAGCGAGAGCCGGCCGGGGAGAGGCGGCAGAGGCGGAGACGCGGACGTACGTCGTACCGAAACCGTTCATGAGCGTGAGCCGTGCGACGTTACGGCTTACGCGCGTACATTTGTATTAGAGTTACTATTAGAGAAGCGAGAGATATATATTGGTACGGCTCAGACAGAGAAGAGAGCACAAAGACCGGAGGGCGGGGACCTGTTCCTTTTTACCCATCTCCTAGTAGATGTGTCCGTTTTATTTATTTATTTAGAGAAGAGAGGAGAGTGTGTGTGAGTCCCGGGCGCGGAAAAAATGTATGTCAGATGGTCACGATATCCAACCGCATAAACGATAAACGTGTGTGTCAAGCTGACACTGTCACCGTGACACACAGTTCAGTGCGTGTAACTGTACCTCAGTGTGTGCCATCTCTTACTCTCTCTGACAGCGCTCTACAATTTACAAAGAAAGTGTGAGTCATGGCGCGCCGCCCAGCCGCAGCTGCTCGGCAAAGTCGAGCAGGCCCTTGTTCACCGCCTCGGGCGCCTCGTCCTGGGGACAGTGCCCAGCCGCCACCGACACGCGCCGCACGTCGACGCCGCACGCCTCCGCGCAGGCTTGCGCCTTGTCGCCGAGCGCGCTCACGACCCACGGGTCCTCCTCGCCCCACAGGAGGAGCAGAGGCATCTCGAGCTGCGAGATCAGCACGTCCACCGGCACGCCCCCGCCGCCGCTGTTTCGTGAGACGATGCGATAGAAGACCTCCGGGATCTGGCCCGGAGGCGCGAGGCCGGGCGCGTCCTCGGCCGGGTAGACGATCGACTCGACAAGCTCGTCGTCCGCCATCTCGGGGCGGACCGGGTACACCTGCCGGAGGACCTGCTTGATGCGGAGCGGCTGCTTGGTCACAAACAGCCCGGTGAACGCTACAGCGCGCTGCAGCGACGTGGCCACGTACTCGCGCGCCTCGTCGACGGCCACGGCGACCGGGCTGCGCTCCGCTCTCGCAGCCTCCTCCCGCCGGAGCCGCTCGGCCTCCTCGGGCGGAGGCGAGAAGCGGCCCGCGCCGTTCAGGCTCGCGATGCCCAGGCAGAGGTCGGGGTACTCGGCACCGAGTGCGAGTGCCGTGTAGCCGCCGATGCTGTTCCCGGCGACAATGGCCTTTCGGCCGCCGGCTCCGCACCCCGCAACCTCCCGCAAGAAGGCGGCGCACTGGTCCCGCCAGATACGACTGTCGTAGTCGATGACGGGCTTGGAGGACAGGCCGAAGCCGACGAGATCTATAGCATACACCCTGTAGCCGGCGCCGGCGAGCACGTTGACATTGCGACGCCAGTGAAAGCCGGACGCGCCAAAGCCGTGGATGAGCAGGAAGGGCTGCGCTTCCTCCGGGCCCGCCACGAAATAGTTCACCGACAAGCCGCGTGCCTCCTTCCAACCGTTGAACGTCCACGTTTGATCCGGAGCCTCTGTCCACCGCAGCGGAGCTTGAGGAGCAGCGGCAACCGACATGACAATCCGGTGGCGGCGTTGGGTGGGCGATGCGCGATGAGGCAGCAGCAAGCCGCACGCGAGGAGTGCCAGCATTAGCTGCAAATCTTAGCTCCCCGGCCCTGGTGTGCGGTTACCACACTCCAAGTGCTCCAAGACCAAGTGCAAGCGAAGATCCTCACGCGACCGAAAGCACCTAGAAAAAGAATCTTCGCGTCCGGCTAGACTCTATGTACAGAATATCCTATGCGAGAGAGATCCCCTGTGCCCTGTGCCCAGCCCTCTCCGCACGGCGATGCGCCCTCCCCCCTCGCTTTTGCAAAATCCTGCAAAGGTGGGGACGTGTCTGTCCTCGACCCAGCCCTAGCTTGGGATGCCCGTTGTATTTATTTATTTATTACAGAATACGTTCGTAAGAACTCCACCGGGAAAAATGAGAAGGCTGCAGCGAGGGTAAATGAATAAAATATACGCACAACCTCCGCGCTGGGCAGCGTGCCGCTCCGGCCGCTCGCAGCCCCGCTCACTAGCACCCCTTCTCGACGAAGTCCAGCGCGACGAGGCCCTCTGCGATGACAGAGACGGGCCGCTCCGAAAGCACCGCGGCGCCAAACGGCGTGGGCAGCCTCCCGTTGACCGCCTCGGCGAGCGCGGTGACGTCAATCGTGGGCACGACCTTGCCCGTGGCGTCCTCCTCCATGCGTTCGTACTTGCAGGCTGCCATCTCCTCCATCAGCGCCTCCCACCGGCGGTCGGGCTCGTCGCAGCCGTAGTTTCGCGCCCGCTGGCACGCGAGCGCCAGCGCCATCTTGAGGTCCACGAGGTCGACTGCGGGCTCGTCTGCCTTTGCATAAGTGAGAAAGGCGGAGCGTCGGTGAGGCTTGTTGAGGTCCTCCCGCACCCGTGCCGCGACCTCGTGCGCTGCGCCGGCCGCCGAGCCCCACTGCCACTCTGGCGAAGACCACGACGCGGGCGGCTTGTCCTCAAAGAGGCTGGCGAGCGCGTCCTCCTGCATTGCCAACCGCGTGGGCGGCCGCGCAAGCGGTGCGTGGCGAGCGGCAGCGGACCAGGCCACCGCGTGCGAGGCAAGCACCGTGAGCATACAGGAATCCATTCGGAAAGGAAGAAAGAAGTGCCCCAAAGAAAAAGAATCAGGCTTTAAAAGAATCGAAAAGAAACGCCGGCGCGCGCACGACGGCCCACCACCAACAGCCACCGAAAAAGGCCCTGAAACATCCAGGGTCGATCTGGCCCTGCGAATTGTGCACATGCCCTCGCCCTGCCTCCTCCTACTGCACCTCGGACTGGCCAAGCCCCCCGACTACTCTGTCCTCTCGCGCCGCGTGGCCGCGCTCCGCTCCGACAGCACAACCGTTCGCCTCCTCGTGCTCGACTCACTGCTGCCGCGACAACGGCTGAGCCTCCAGCTTGGCCCACCCTATAGCCAGATGCTGAGCGACGCGAGAGCGTCCGGAGAGCCGATCGCGGTGATCGGCGTTAACCAGCGCACCGGGCGCTTGTTGACACGCGGCGTGGAGGTGCGCATCGAGTCTCTCTCCCACTTCATGGCTTCGGACGGTGGCTTTGCGAGTCATTCGACGACGTGGAGCACCGGCTTTCGCGCCATCGACGCCGCGCTCGTCGGCGGGCGCCGGTGCGAGGTACTGCTGCCGGAGGGCGTTCGGTGGCCACCGAACGAGCGGACTTTCGAGGCGCGTGTGCGGTGGCTCGAGTCTGAAGCTACCATGTCGGTCGCGGCGTGCGAGGCGCTCACAGACTCGCTCGCGCCTCTGGTGGGCGAGTGGGTCGCGCTCGCCAAGGAGACGCAGCGCGAGAGGTCGCCCGGCCAGCTCGACGCCGTGCTGAGCGACCTCGGCCCGCTGTGCGAGATGCAGACGGCGGACGACGTCGCGTTTTGGATCGGCGCTCTCATCAACCCACTCCCCGCGCTGGGCGCAGCGAGGGAGATCCGCGCCTTCCTGCTTGAGGCGAGCAGCCCCGCGCTGCGGGTCGAGTGCGTAAGGCGGGCCCTCGAAGAGTCCATCGGCCGGATGAGAGAGCAGCCCCCGGGGCCAATCGAGGTCGAGCCGTCGACGCGGAGGACCTTCTGAGCTCGATCCCGCAAACTCCCGGTGAGACTCGGGGTAATGGACATCTCTACCCAAGACCAGTAGATCGTTGGGGGAAAGACAGTAGATCTAGATTAAGACTGGAGATCCTAGCGGATCTCTCACACGGACACGCCCAAGTCTCGCCAGTAGATCCCTCACTGTCCGGTTCCCCATTCAAGACTAAAGATCGAAGATTGAGATTGTGGATTGCAGATCGCTGAGCAGCAACACGGGCCAAAATGTGGAGATAGGAGATGGAGAGTGCAGATTGTAGATCCTAGCGCCCAGAGCCATCCTGATCCGCCCCGCAAGATGTTGGTAAGATGTTGTGATACTGATTACTGATAGATACATTCTAGACAGTAGACTGAAAAGTGACGAAAAGATTTTGAAAATGGAGGTCTAGTCGAGATTTTGCTGCCGCGTGCCGGCGGCGACAGTGGCCAAGTAGAAGATTGGAGATTGGAGAGGAGAGGTAGTCAGTGTGAATGAATCCATAGCGCATCTCCTTGGAAGGTTTGAGGATTGAGCCCCCGCCCCTCCTCCCCCGGGCCCCCGAATCGAGAGAATTGGAGATTGGAGATTGGAGATGGAGATCGGAGATCTGACTGAATCCGGCCTAAGATGCCACGGCGTTGGAGATTGGAGATTGAAGAATGGAGATCGGAGATCCGACTGGATCCCCGGCCTAAGATGACGACGCTGTGGATTGGAGAGTATTGGAGATGGGGAGATCGGAGCTCCCCCACCCCAGTGGGGTGTGTGGTAGCTGTGTTTTTAAAAGGGTTACTGTGGTCTGTGCGCGGACGGCCCGGGGAGCCTGCGGCGCCATTTTAATCTGCGCTCCTCTTTTATGGCCTGCGGCGCCTGGCTTGAGCTTGCAAACTACTCGATAGCGGTCCCGCCGTAGCTCGCGCATAGAAGCAGGAAGCTAGGCAGAGGCCGCATCGCGTCAGCTGTATACGTTTTACCCAAAACCGAAACCAAAACACGGATCTCCAAACCAAAAAGGGATGAAATCCCTTATGGATATAATCGCCAAATTATCTCAGGAACATAGTGTGAATGCCCGGGAACAGCCCCTCCTGGCCCGAGTGCGGGGCGCGAGGGACAAACAAATTCAGAGGGCATGAAAGTCGTCAAGCTGCTTGATCAGGCCAGTGAAGACGGCCCGCGAGGCAGCCTTGGTGAGCAGGTCGGCGAGCATCACGACGCCGGGGAGGTGTTCGACAGAGATAACGCCACGGTTGACGAGATCGCGAAGGAACTCGGCGGCGCGCAAGATGTGCTTGGTCTTCTTGAAGGCAACGGGATCGAAGGCCATGCCGACGGCGGATTTGCTGTCGGAGTTGATGATGCTGGCGCCGTCGATGGAAAATCCAAGGTCGATCAGTAGCTCACGGATGAAAATTACCTCCTCTTGGCGGCTACCATAGCATGGCGCCAAAGAACTCTGCCTCGGCACTAGACAACGTGACGGATCGCTGCATTTTGGAGAACCAGTGGAAGAGACATCCGTAGAAGAAGAACATGCCACCGGAGCAAGAGAACTTCGTTGCCCAGTTTGAATCGACGTATAGCTCTCAAGTTTGCGGTTTGGGGTTCGGCTGCATGACGAGGGCGCGGTCAGCTGTGTCGCGCACGTAGATAAGCACCCGGATGGTGGCTTTAAAATGCGACGGGCCAGGGTTGGTCATGAAGCGAGCAAGCTGAGACGCTGAATAAGCAATGTCGACGCGCGTCATGTTGGCAAGCCACAGTAGTCCGCCGACGATGGCCATGTAGGCGGTGCGGAACTCGGACATCTCGTCGTGTTCAACAGATCCAACGGCGGGCTGATCATCGGCGGACAGTTCGAGCCCTTCTTCCATAGGCGAGTCGAAGCGGCGTGAGCGGGACCGATCGAAATAGGCGCTGAACTTGGTAACGAGGTCGGCGGCGTAGAGGCCCTGGGACAGGTTCAGGGTCCGTGCGGCGCGGTCACGCGTGATGGCGGTGTTCAGGATCCATTCGAGCTCGCCCTTGTCCTCGGTAGGGAAGCGCTTGTTCAGAGCTTTCGGCTCGATTGGGGTTGTGCTCGCACACGCCAGGCGCCCGGGTGGTGGCTGACATATAGGGTGCAAGGCTGCTTGACCATGGCAGCGCACAAGTTGGAGCTGCCATGGTGGTCGACGCTGTCATGTCGCTGGTGGTGTCGGCCTCGGCGATGCAATAGTCGAGGCCATACTGGCCGGAGGATAAGCCATACTCGATAGCGGTCCCGCCGTAGCTCGCGCATAGAAGCAGGAAGCTAGGCAGAGGCCGCATCGCGTCAGCTGTATACGTTTTACCCAAAACCGAAACCAAAACACGGATCTCCAAACCAAAAAGGGATGAAATCCCTTAAGCCTTATGGATATAATCGCCAAATTATCTCAGGAACATAGTGTGAATGCCCGGGAACACAAACGGAGCGCGCTGCGCGCGCGGTCTACGGCGAACTTGTTTGCCGAGTTGGCAGCGTGAACCACGATACCGCCCCCAGAGTTCGGCGTAGACCGTGCACGCCGCAGCGCGCTCCGTGTTTGCAGACCGCCCTGGCGGACTCGTTTACACTTCCAAGCTCAAGCCAGGCGCCGCAGGCCATACAGGCTCCCCGGGCCGTCCGCGCACAGAACCTTATCTAGATACTAGAAACAAAACAAAAAAATCGATGAGCCACCACTAGGGGCCGGGGGGGCTCCGATCTCCATCTCTCCAGTACTCTCCAATCTCCAGCGTCGCTACATCTTGGGCCGGATCCAGTCAGATCTCCGATCTCCATCTCCAATCTCCAATCTCCAACGTCGTCATCTTAGGCCGGATTCAGTCAGATCTCCGATCTCCATCTCCAATCTCCAATCTCCAATCTCGATTCGGGGGCCCGGGGGAGGAGGGGGGCTCAAACCTTCAAGGAGATGCGCTATGGATTCATTCACAATGCAATTAGGATCTCCACCCTCTTTTCGCGCCATTTTGCAATCTCCAGTCGGCCCACACGATCTCTAGGCGCCTTTGGCGCGAAGTCAGAATCTCCACCTCTGTCGCAAGATCTCAAGCGACTGCACGCACCAACTCGACATCTCAGACTCCTCTCGAGCATCTACACCGGAGAAGATTTGCCTCCACCAGTTCTTCAATCTACTGCTGCTCTTGGCAGGAGATTTACCACGTATCTGAGTGAGATCTCTAAAAGTGTGCCTGTGATAGTACTAGCACGCGCCAGTTCGCACCTGTGTCGAGCCTGTCTGCTGTGAGAGAGGGAGTTGTTTTGTTTAAACTCTAAAAAAGGCATCTACGATCTACAGTCCAAGGATCTTCCGATGTTGGGTAGAGATGTCCATGTAAGCGATGTACGGAGAGGACTCGTGTGTCGCGTGACGGGCCGCGCTCGTGCAGAGCCGCGCTGGCCGCTGCGGAGGCTGCGCCGCCCCCGCCCCCCCGAGATATTCATACGGCTCTTTACGTTTATTTTACCTCAAGTTTAAACTTTACGCTAGGTCGCTACGTGCACGCGCGCCTAGTATTTTTCGACACTGGTACATGATAGTTGGTCGTGATGCACGTGTACTATCAAAACCGACTGACAACTCTGGTCGTCGCCTCCGCTGCGCGCGCGTGCGCCCGGACCGTCCCCCAGACGCCAGAGCCGAGTCGCGAGTGCAGCACGAGAGCGGAGAGCATGCGGGACGCCTCCCCGGCGGCGGCGGCGGCGCGCCACGCGTCAGTCGTCCAAGTCCGAGCCCTCGTCCGAGTCGCTCCCCTCCCTCGCTCGCCGCGCTGTGGCGGTTGTGCAGCCGCCGGCCGAGGCGCCGTAGTGGATGCCGTCGTCAAAATGGACGAGGCCCCGCTGGCCGAGCTCGTACGCGACCCCCTCCGTGGTGAAGGTGCGGTCGACGCCGGCGAGCTGGCCGGTGACGCGGCCGCCCTCGCACAGCAGCAGCGTGGGCAGCTCGGCGAGCTCGACCATCGACGAGATGAGCGGCGCCTCCTCCGCGTCGAGGTGCGCAAAGTAGGTTTCGACGTGCACCACGCTCAGCTGGCGAAGGTGGAGGTGTAGTGCCTCGGTGAGGTGGGAGGGCGCGCCCCGGCTGCCAAAGAGGACGACCGCGCGCTCGTGCTTCGGAAGCTCGCTCAGCAGCGCCCCCTCGCCGCTCAGCGCGGCGTACACGCCGTGGCCCTTTGCGAGCCACGCGCTCCGCAGCTGCGCGCGCGCCTTCATCTGCGCGATGCGGTTCTTGCGCAGCACGTCGATCTCGCTGTCGCCGGGCCCGGCGCTCTCGAGAGCCGCCGCGTCGGGCTGCCCCTGCATGTGCCGCACGCCTCCGTCGGCGCCGGCGGCCAGCCAGCCCTGGTCTGCGCCCTCCTCCCGCGCCGTCTCGTTGTCGAGCTTCGTCTCGAGGCGCGAGGTGCTCTCCATCCGCTGCGAGGCGGTCCAGTTATCCTCGCTGTACATGCCATGAAAGCCGCGGTGCTGCTTCACGTAGCCTGAGCCCGACATCGCCTGTGTCCTGTGAGCTCCAGCCGGCGGATATTTCTTTTCTCGAAATAAAATTGCCCATCATATTTCTTTCTGGACGGGATTCCGCTTCGTCGCCCTCCGTGTGCTTGCGTCCCTACTGCCCTCGCGCAGCAACCAACGCAGCTCTCACAACTCATCGGCGTATGTCCCTGCTGCTGCAACCCTCCGCCATCGTGCTCGCCGCCGTCGCCTCCAGGCCCGCACTCGCGGCCACTCCCGCCATGTCTGGCCGCCGGCAAACACTTGCAGCCGCCGCCGCCGCCGCCGCCGCCGGCAACACCGCCTCTGCTCGCGCTTGGTGCGGCGATCCGTACCCGCCGTTCGCATACTCGCTGCCGTGGTTCGAATTTGACTCGTCGGGCTGTGCCGTGCGGGTGGTCGGCGACCTCACCTCGGAGAGCGGCAAAGGACTGCGGCCTCTGGTGGCGTTGCCGACGCCGGGCCTCTCGTACGACTACCTCGAAAACCTGGAGGCGCTCACGGTCTCCCAGCGGCGCGTCGCCTTCATCGCCGTGCCGCCCGCGGCGTCCCTGCCCGCCGCAACACGCGCGGCCGTCGATGCGATCGGCTCGCTCGACGCCAAGCGCGGCGTGCATCTCTTGGCGCACGGCCTGGCCGCCCCAGTCGCGCTCGCCGCCGCCGCCGCCGCGCCTCCCGGCGCAGTGGCGTCGCTCCTCCTCTCCTCGCCCCTCAGCCAGCCTGGAGACGCCGAGCCGGCGAGTGCGCGCGCGATCGCTGCGTCCACTGCGCCGCTCCTCGCCACCGCCTCCGCTAGCAGCAGCACGGTCTGTGTCGGCGCGTCCCTCGCGAGGCCCGCGGCGGCAGAGCTGCATCGCGCTTTCGCCGCCAACGAGCTGCCGCCGCTGCCGGCGCTCGTGCGGGCGCTGCGCTCGCCGCCGCCGCCGCTGCTCCTCGCGCACGGCGGCGCCTCCGACGTGTCCTCGGCCGCGGCCGTGGACGCGCTCGCTGCCGCAGCCGAAGGCCGCGCCGAGGTGTCGTTGTTTGCGCGCTCGGGCCCGCTTCCGATGGTGGACGAGAAGGCGGCCTACGCCGAGGCGGTGCTGCACTTTCTCGACTCGGTCGACGGCGCGACGACGAGAAGGGTCGTGGTGAGCGGTGGGGACCAGCGGGTGGCGGGTCGCATCTAGAGGCGCTTTGCGCAAAAAGGAAAAAATCTCGTGTCTTATTTTGTTTTTTCTCGATCTCGTACTCGTTTTACGAGTTCATTTTATATAATATCGTTTTACGTTTTTCCCCACGTCCCACTACCTGTAGTTCACTCGTCACCTCTCCGGCGGGTGTCGCATCTGAATTTTGTGATTAACAGAAAGACAGACCAAGTCTGTGTCTTGATTTGCCAACAACATACCTAAAACAAGACGGAGCGTTAAAATGAATTCTTTCCGTCTGTTATTTCCATGTCGGCCAGCAAGAAGTGGAGCCTCGCCGACTTCAAGATCCTCGTGACCGGCGGCTCCAAGGGCCTCGGCCGCGCGATTGTCGAAGAGTGCCTTTCCCTGGGCGCGAGCGTGCTCTTCACGGCGCGCGGTCGTGAGGAGCTCGACAGGGTTCAGGCAACTCTCGCTGCTGTGTATGGAGCGGAGCGCGTGCAGACCATGGCGGCCGACGTGAGCACGGCGGACGGGCGCGCGGCGCTGGTGGCGCGTGTGGCCGAGCTTTGGGGCACACTCGATGTCCTTGTCAACAACGTCGGCACAAACGACCGCATGCCGGCCGCTGACGTGACCTTCAATGGGTTTGAGAGGATGATCGCGACCAACCAGACGTCGGCCTTTTTCATGTGCACGCTGTGCTTGCCGCTGCTGCGTAAATCGTCCCACGCGAGCGTGATCAACATCACCAGCCTTGCGGGCGTGCGCTCGAGCGGCACGGGCGTGGTGTACGCCATGACAAAGGCGGCGATGGGCCACATGAGCGAGGCGCTCGCGTGCGAGTGGGCCGGCTACGGCATCCGCGTCAACGCCGTCGCGCCGTGGATGGCAAGGACGCCGCTGCTGGAGGCTGCTGTCCAAAAGGACCCAGCGGCGCTGGACGCGGTGTGCGAGGCGACGCCGCTCGGCCGCCTCGGCGACCCCGCCGACACGGCGGGCGCCGTCGCCTTCCTCTGCATGCCTGCCTCCGCGTACATCACCGGCCAAGTCCTCTGCGTTGACGGCGGGCTGGCTGCCCAAGGGTTCCGTGGGCCGTGCGTGGTGCCGCATGCGCAGGGAAGCTAAGAGAGCGCGTCGGCTGAGGTGCGGAGGCCGACTGCCCTCTCGTGCCGCCCGTCGCGCGGCCCGTCGCGGGGAGCCGGGATACGGCTTTCGATGGCGCACTGCGCATGGCGTCGCGCGCCGATAAAAAAAGTTCTAAACTCTGACGAGCTGGATAGCGGGCTATTATTTTATTCAGAGCACAGAGGCAACGTTTCCACCTCTCTCTCACTCTGGTGCGACCACGCACGGCGGCGCACGCCACGGATTCGCCAGGCTAAAAATCTCGCGTGTCGAAGCGCATGGCTCTGTGAGTATGGGTCTAGCGGCTACCAAGCCGCTGGATCTCGAGAGGCTCTGAGGCGCATCAGACTGTCGGGCCTGCTATGCAGGCGAGCAAAGCTGCGGGCAGGGCGGCTTGGTTTTGCCTTTAGCGGGTCGCCGAGTGGTCTGACTGGTCGACTGGTGGCGATGGCTGATGACAGTCGCAGCGAGTGGCTGATGGGGGTGGCGACCCGGGGAGGCTACGACTGGTCCCTAGGAGACTGGTCGGGCTCCTCGTCCACGCGCACCTCGAGCTGCGCTCCTGGCAGCGCGGCGACGAGCTGGCGGTACACGACGCCGCTGCACGAGGCGCAGAGCGGCTTTTTGGACCAGAGCGTCAGCCGGCCACGGTACGAGCGGTTCACCTGCCCCGGCGCGGTCACGCCGAGGTGGCGCGCGCAGAGCTCCGACACGAGCTTGAACTCGGCGTCGTGGTCTCGCAGGTAGCTCTCGCCGAGCCCGTCCGCGCACTCGATCGGCAGGAAGGGCCCCGAGAGCGGCTGCCCCTCGGCCTCGCCGCACCAGCGCAGCCCGGGCGCACCCATGCCGCTGATGGCGTACTCGCAAAAGAGCGTCTCAGAGCTCGCCGACCCGGAGAGTGTTGGCCCGGAGCTCGCGCCCGCGCCGGACTCGTCCTCGGTGAGCAGCGCCCTCGCCTGGCCCTCGGCTGCGGCCGCG